AAGCTTTTGAAGACTAGTTGGAAAGGTTTGAAATCTGGAGTATGACCCGGAAAGATGTCAAAGATGATAAAATTGTGGCACGTTTGCTGACATTCATCGAAAAAGAAGCGTACAGCTTATCAAAAACTTTGGCATATCCAGAAAAACCTATCTCACTTCCCTATGCAATACTTAAAGAGTTATTATTGAATCACGTAAAGTGCCCTGGTATTGAATGCCGTGAAAGGGCGAAATTTCATAAGATGATTCGTCAAAATGACCAAAATGTTAAGGAATTCATTCTTGAATTGCAGAAACAAGCTGTCAAATGTAATTTCGGTGATCAACTTCATGTGCAGCTGAGAGACCGATTAATTGCAGGAATTAACATACCTAGTTTGGAAAGAGAGCCGTTAAGAATATCAAACTGTTCCTTTCAAGATGTTAGAACTGCGTGCATTAACTACGAGGCGTTGAATGAACTTGATATTCAGTCGATGAAGATTTCCAATACTTTGATTAGTTGTCATGATGAAATACAATCTCAGGGTCAATCAAAATTGTGTTCGTTTAATAGAGGTTCCGATTCTCGTGTAAATATGAACGGTGTCTCAAAAAAGAATTACAAAGGAAATAACAGAGGTAAGACCAAGTTTGGCAAGTGTTTATCATGTGGAAAACTTCATTCTCGTAATTCATGTGCATTCGCAATGCTAAATGTTTTAGATGTGGTAAGATAGGACACATTCAAGCAGTATGCAAAGCTACTGTTCATTTTGCCTCAAGTAGTACTAAAGCTTGTAATTTAGATCCCAATAATTCAGCTGATCCTAATGATCATTTATCTTTGTCTACCATTTCGAAAGGTAATGCTCATATTCAAAAGCGATTATATACATCGCTTGGTTCATGTCATGACTTTATTGTGGACACAGGCAGTATAGAGTCCATTATTTCATTCAAGAACTTGAAATCGTTAGATCCTAACGTTGTGGTTCGACCCACTGAAGTATCAATATTGGGGATTACTGGACACAGACTGCCTATACGAGGATGTTGTGAATTGCTAATAAGAGATGATAATTCCTCATACATACCTTGTGAATTCTTAGTTAGCGAAACAGGACTGTCAATACTGGGTTTAAAGAATTTGAAAAGGCTTAAAGTGGAGTTGTCTTTCCTAGTTTCTAAAGAAAATTCTGATGCTTTACTTAAAGATTTGATAGCCACGTGTGCTAAGTGCACGTGGAGGTATGAAAACGGTTCAGCACAGGAGTGCCAAGCAAATTCAGCATGTTGACTACATTTCTCGACAGTCATTACAAGATAAACCTGTTAATACTTCAGACTGTTTGTTAGCGCAACCTTTACCAGTGAAACGTCCAGATCTCATTAGAGAAACTCGTAGAAACTTTGGATGTATAATTAATGCTATACGGAAAGGTTGGAATGCTAATCTGAAACGTAGATTCCCTATCTATTTTTCTAAAGCGGGATGAGCTATCCACTACTCCTGATGGTATTTTGTGTTTACATGATCGGGTTGTTATTCCTCCTTCATGGCGTAAAGCTGTCCTGGCAGATCTTCAGAGTGGACAGTCAGGTGGTGAGAAATTGAAGTCCTTGGCGAGGCTCACGGGTTGTTCGCCAGGGATAAATGCAGATATTTGTCGTACAGCAAACAATTGCGAAAAGTGTCATAAGCTGAAAAATCAGCATTCGTAGGTGATTGATTCTATTGCCGCCTCAACATTTAATGAGCTGGAGAGGGGAGTAGATACCTTTCTACTGCAATATAGAAATGCCAGACATTCGGTGACGAAAGAGACTCCATCAAAACTATTAAAAGGAAGAATTCTTCGGTCGAATATGAGATGTTTGGAGTCTGCAGAAGTTACATATTATCGTGGCAATGATCTTCGACCATCCACGGGGATTGTTCTGAAGAATATCGGGAAATCTATGGTGCGACTTCTAGATATCAATGACTTAAGTACACACAATCGACATGTTGATCAAATACAATTCCAGGAACCAGGTGAGTCTGTTCCAATTTCGGTTGTTAATTCTAATACTAATGAGAGCATTCTAGATAATACAGAGCCTTTATCCAATACACTGTCGGACAGACACAGGATGAATTTGAGAAGAAGACGTACAATTGATTACAGACACTTGGATTCCAATTTAAGCTGTGGCGGATGTGGTGTTTGAATTAACTAGTGACTTCTTGGTTGTTGTTGAATGCTTGATTTCGAATTCTAAATACAGTACATTCGTTTGTGCTCATCTCGTAGTTCTTGATTCACATACTTCTAATCATCATAGGAGTAGAATGAGGCGGTTAAAAATATAAACAGAAAGATAGGGAGACTAGCAAAACAGAAAACATCTTTGTTTAAAGCTAACTCGTAACTTAGCAGATCACGTTTTTAAATAAAACAAAGGAATAATTACTCAAACCTCTCTTTTTCTGTATTGGGGCACCAACTGTACACCTACATTTAAGTACGATTATGAAGACAATTCACTAGTGAGATAACAAATGGGCAAATAAACTTATGAATAGAGGAGATTAAAAGGAACTAAACTGTTAGAAATTTCGTTGATAACTCCACTGGTTATTTGTGTTGGTGATGAAAGGGAATCGTTGAATTTTATGATTAGTTGGCATCCATCTAGGAATGAAATGAACCACGAATGTAGAGGGTTAAAGATTCCGAATGAATTTAGTTTGGTGAAAAACGCTTTGTGTGGGACCTTATCAAAAGCTTCTTGAAGTCGAAGAAGATGACTGATACTAAAAGCCCTTTGTCTTGCTGATGCGTAATATCATTGAAATAAGCTAGCATGCATGTGTCACACGACCTAGACCTCAAGAACCCATGCTGTAAGCTTTATACCAGATTGTTATTAATGTGTTGTATCAGTGCCGCCTTCAATACCTTTTCGATCACCCTGGATACTACTGAGGTAATGTTTATGGGTTGGCAATTTTCAACATTCTCTGATGGCCCTGATTTAATCGTTTGGATGATATGTGTACTCTTCTAGGCATCAGGACGAAACCCTGTAGAGGGGGATATGTTAAATAGATGCATCAATGTGAGCTATATGATGTAAGGATTTGGCAGTAAAGAAAAGTAGGACTGAATATTCCACCTGTGAACAATCGAAAGCAATAATAAAATACGGAAACTAAAGAAATCACCTAGTCGGAAGGCTCTACATTTGACGAATCCTTACTTATTTACATCAGACTCGGTTGGATGAAGAGGGTGAGGACACATACACTTTCACTAGTAACCATCGACCACTTATATACGAAGGCTGTTGGTCTACTGAGCGAAATGGATCAGTTGTGTGAACTAGGCAACCTTATGGGACTTTCCAAAACACAAGCGTCTCCTCTTAAATCATGGAAGAGTATACTGCAACAACCTACATGTATATTTGTAAGGTGATAACTGAAAGAGCCGAATGAGAGGTGTCGGGTTAATATATCCACAGTCCTGCTTGGTAGAATATCAGGTGTATGCTCAAGGGTTCTCCATTGTTCATTAATCTGTATGTTGCCTAGTGAGATCGCTAAACACCTCATGAAGTGTATTTGGATTCATCTACAGAACGTCTAATCCTAACGCTGATAAAACTGAAAGGATTACCTCACTTTATTAGTCCATCAGATACTCCGGCCCAAAGGTTAAGTAACTTCAACCATCCCGAAGTCGAATTCCCTTAACCTTCATGCAAAAAGAGCGATAACTCTATTAAACCCGTTTTCTTCAACATCATTAAAGAATTTGGCTTATTCGAAAATGTAAATTTAGTAACTCAGTAGGAAAACGGTCAAATACCACTATGTTTGGACTACATCTTCATACATTTCAAACTCTTAATTGATCACGCAATTGAGGCCTTTATTTTATTAGCTAAATTGAGGTAACAACAAGCATCTGAATTTCTGACGATGGATAAATCAGCTTCGAAGGAAAATCCAAAGCAGACAGAATGAGAAGAAAAACCTCCTCTTTATATGCATACTTACTGGGATTACTTATTATACACGAACTTGCCAGCTACAAATTATTCGGTTTCAAAAATGATCCCCCAAAATTTCTAACAATCTACAGTCATTTCCAGTTGCGCTCTCCGAACGTAATGTATTAAAGGGTACTGCCGTGTGCTGCAGAGTTCCTGATACAACAGTATTATCGAACACGTTGACCAAAATATACTACCTACATTTAAGAAGACTTCATTTGCTAGTCATTGGGAGTCTCAGAAGAAAACTTGAGTCTTTGACTTGTGTATCATAAACGGCAGCATCAATATAAAGACACTCCTCTTAGCATAGATATGTTTCACTATGATATCCTGAGAGAAGCAGCTTCAGTCATGGCAACAACCCAGAGTGTAATGTCCTCATATTTCCCAAGTAGTGGAGCAGTCTCAAACGATTTGAACCCGTTACTCATACTACCAGTCTTCATGGAAGACTGACACAATGAACCCTCAAGCTTCCAACCGGTCGGACTAATTTCGAAACCCCCAAACGCCATGGAGACTTTAGTATATGAAGGTCTATGCGTCTACTCATCAGTTAACTTCTATTCATCTCAAGATCACTGTTTCATAGCCCACAACTGCTTTAATAATCTGCGGACTGCAGTAGACGGATGAACAGCCGTCTTTGACTGAAAGTAAATCTTTATCCACTGGAGTGTAGGTGCCTTGGAGATGACCCTTTTTCAACGTTTTCTTGCGTCCTATTACATTCACTACCTTTCGTACACTAAAATTTAGGTCATTTTATTACGTTCCTTGAACATGGGAAAAAATATGAAATGAAGATTCCATCAACTTAATAAAATTTGAGTTCGATACTTGGCGCAAATGCATTTTAAGTCAGTCTTATATCTCTATATGCATTAAGCTTCGCACTAAGACATTGAACCTATCGGAATTTGGGCGGGTAGATAACTGCGCCTGACGAGCTTGCCGCCTCACGCTTTAGAGACATGGTGAGTATTAGCATTTGTTTAGGCTTATATCTTTAGCCACCAAAACAAGCATCAAAGGCTGGGAAGAAAGAGCCAACGAAAAAGCCTATGAAACCCAAAGAGGGTGGAGGAAAAGCTAAAAAGAAAAAATGGTCTAAAGGAAAAGTTCGAGATAAACTTGCCAATATGGTGTTGTTCGATAATGCAACTTTTGAAAAGCTGCTAAAAGAAGTCCCACAGTATAAGGTAATAACACCCTCGGTAGTGTCAGAACGGTTGAAAATTCGAGCGTCTCTGGCACGGCATGCTCTTGAGGAGCTGTGGCGTCGAGGTACGCTTGCTGTGTTTCTGTATTAAATCCTATTCTAGGTTCCATAAAAATGGTCTGCAAACACAATTCGCAGCAGATATACACAAGAACAACAAAAGCTGAATAGTTGTACAATAATATATGTTTGGTACCCAGACTTCTTTCTTATGTTTAATTAAAAAGGGATATAAACTATCAAATTACATTTTACTTAGGGATGAGACTAAATCAAGAAACAATATTGGAAACAACTCGACTGTTCATGGTTCCCTACCTATCCGAATATGTTCCAAAGTACCACAGTTGGATGCAGGATTCGTGGCTGAGAGCAAGTACATCTTCGGAACAGCTAACTTTAGACGAGGTACTGTAAGTATCGTGAAGTAAGCGTAGATTACCAATTTAACTCAAAGCATTGCTTAGTGGTCAATTAGTAGAGTTTTTCATATTCTAGTTTCCTCTCATGATAATGCTTGTAATGACCGTATTTGATAGTTCATTGTGCTCCTTGATTTAATACGATACTCACTGGTGACGCTCATCAATGGACACACTAATAGATACAATAGCACTGCTCGTCAATTCAAATTCTTGACTGGTAAATGCTGAAATTCACTAGTAGAGCCTTCTTGAAAGTAATCGTACGTATCTCACTCGGTTGTGTAGTGTCAATGCTGTTCATTGATGGATCTCATTTCAAGAAGCCATCTTTCTAGTCTTAATTTAATTAATCCAACCGTATTAGTATGGGAATACAGTTCCCTATAGATGTCTCAGTTGCTTAGTAAATGAACATCTTCAGTTTGCTACAGACTGAATCTTAGATACCTTTCTCACTGTTAGGAGTTGATGAGTAAGACGTTGACACGGCAATCCTTATTTATAACTGCAGCAAATGTTACTCGTCGGTCCAGTTGTTTACCATGTAAGCTTTTGAGCAGTGTAACCAACCAGTTACCACTGCATTTAGTACCTGTTCCAAGGCAGCCGCTACTTAGTGTCCTAGATGTCCCTTGTATATGACGTGTTGCTCGCGTGTATGAACTGTGGTAGTTGTTCCGTGAGTGGATCAAATAAATCGTAATCTAACCGACAGTACTTAGGAGACTAGTTTCACTGGAACAGTCTTGTTTCCACTCCTCGGGATAACCCATTAGTAGCAGACACAAGTGAACACACCCAACCCTTGCTTAATACTTTGGAGTTTTTAGGTAGATTATTATCCAGCAATCACACAGAGTATGATCCAACTGCTTTCCGATCGAAGGATAGCAACAGACCTTGATTGATTATCTTCTGAACTTTCCTATAAAGACGACAGTACAACTTTGCTCGTTAGATTTACTAAGATTTTAGCTAGAGTTTAGGAGCTGGTCACTTTAGTCTAACTAGTTCGAAAGTCTTTTGACAACCCCGGCGCAATCAAATATAGTCTCTAAAATGTCAGCTTCAGTAAGACGGTTACGCCTAGCTGCAGTCCCTGAGGAGCGAACATGAGAAACCCGGCCGAGTCGAGGGTGTATAGACCTAGTGTTTGCTGTCTACCAGACTCCGCAACATGGACTTACATTCCGAAGTGCAATTATAATTGTATTTCTCGACTTCAAAGCAGCGTTGACTCTGTCATTGAAAGTGTTTTAACTTCGTACAAGCTTTATATTCGAACATTAGAGGTTGTGGTAGAGCTTATCGCGAACTATCATCAGAATTGATCACTCTAAGTGGTATTCGTCAGGGCTATCCACTTTCTGCATTCTTGTGGTTAACGTGCGACACTTTTGTCATCTGACTTTTCAGGAGTTGAACTTTTACTAGGGGATTCATTTGTTGACTTAGAATACACTGATGACAGTTCTACTTGGTGAAGACGACAAAATTCAGAGTCTTCTGACCACCTAAAGCTACAGTCGATGCTTAAGATGCAATTCCTCCCCTCGAAATACAAAACTTAGCTTCAGGATTAATCTACGTTGGCGACTGAACAAGTGATAAGGATGAAAATAGTTGACTTATCTCGGGAGTTGCATCAGTCCTGATGTGTGACGAAATCTCGGCACTGTTGCAAAAGGCTTGACTGGCTTATGCCAACCTGCATCACTTATGACGTATCAGAGATACCACTCAGCTAACCAGAAGACGAGTCTACTTTCTAGCAGGTTCACTTCGTCCTAATTTATGAGTACTGATAATCGATCATCGGAGTATTCGAAGCATTACCTGTTTATTCCTGGACCTTGAATTAGCCATGCTGGTATTATGAAGAAGGTACAGGAGAAAAATGACAGATCTACTGATGGGGAAGTGAATCATTAGTTGAGGTGGTTGGGTAAAGTGTTATGTATTCCCAATCACCGACTGCCTCGACAAGCGATGTCAGGGTAGGTTGAAAGCTAGGAGCAGCCTAACTGGCCCATAATACAAATTCATGTCACTGACAATTGGACAAAGTCATGTTAGTAGGTGTGGACTACCTGGTTGGCATCTGTGAGACAGTCGTAACCAGTCAGTCAGATGCGACGTAGAACTTCGTACGTAAGTACATCGTTTGATATCGCCATACCACATCAGCACAGAGATGTAATTGTCAATTCAAATCCAATAGTAGTAGAGGTAGTAAAGGTATTAGCAGTAGCCGGAGAGGTTAGGATTAGAAGATATTATTCAAGAAGTATGATACAGTGAGAAAAGTTTAGAAAGTCAAAACTAGAGGGGTTGAAGAACCCAGAAGATTAGGATTTAGAGAACACAAAGAATAAATGCACCGGCACCATCGCAAACGATTTTGATCCATGTCATTCAAGGTCTCTGACCATCGATTACTATCATCTGACGGACCCCAAGCAGGTAGTCGACAATTACCGACATGGCTAAGTCCACTCGTCAATGACTTCATGGATTTCTACCATGTTTTAATTTGGCCGCCCCTAGCTTTCTTCCAACATTTAGTCAGCAAACGGATATCTCGCCTACGCCATGAGTGACGCAAGTTGGCAAAAGCCAATCGAGCCTTCTGTATCCGAGCTGAGATTTCGTCAGTCACCAGGCCATCGGCACTGATGAGACTCCCAAGATAAGTTCAGGTGCCGATGAAACCCAATCTTGAAGCAACATTTCGAGCCACCAGGTAAAAGGTCTACTCCTGAAAATTCAGACGAGCATAAGGTTATTTCTAGGTGCATGTCTATGATAAAATTAAACAAAAATGGAGAGAGTGAACATCCCTGACGGACACCACTTGAAGTGAAGAATTCCGGTGACAGTTCGCCATAAGCTCTCACTCGACCAGTGGTTTTCGAGTAGAGGGCTTGTATAAGGTTAATGTACTTCTTTGGTACACCTTTCAATGACAGACACTGCCACAGAACCTCACGATCTGCAGAGTCAAATGCCGCTTTTAGGTCCAGGAAAACAACTATTGTCGGACGCCTAAATGTGTGTCTGTGTTCAAGGACCTGTCGTAGTGTGAAGATGTGGTCTATACAGCCACGTCCAGGTGGAAAACCAGCCTGGTTTTCTCGAGTCTGCTCTTCACGAGCTTTCGTTAAGCGCCGAAGTATTATTGAGGCCAATATTTTAGATACTATATTAGTTAGACTTATTCCCCTGTGATTGTCACAAGAAGACTTTTGTCCTTTCTTTTAAATTGGCGCAATCAGGGATTGAGACCTGTCAGATGGGATTACGTCCAGTTCCCAGATTCTACCTAAGATCTCGGTCAACCTAGCTGCTAAACCTGGACCACCATCCTTAAATATCTCAGGGGTCAGTCTATCAGGACCTGCATCTCGACCTCGCTTCAGATTTCCTAACGCTTTCTCAACGTCATTAAGACTAGGGGGACTTACGTCGATTTGCCATTCAGGATGACTGGAGATCGTGGGTAACCGAAGAGTGGCTCGAAGCCAGTTGAACTGATCCCTAAAGTGTTCTGCTCATCGATCCAGTCTCCTGGATTGAGAATGGATAATAAGACCGTCCTTTTCCGAACTGGTCTCACTCACATTTGGGTTCCTAATACCAGTTTCCTTGATAAGTCGGAGAAGTTGTCTAGTGTTGCCGATCGCCGCTGCCTTTTCCATCGCTTTTGCTTTCTCCTCCCACCACTGTTCACGGTCGTTGCGCAGGCTTTTTATCAGCCTGAGCCTAAGCTGACTTCGTTCCTCATCATGTTCAGAGCTAGGTGGGATCAGTTTTCGGGCACCCATCAGATCGGTGGATGCTACTGAGATCCACGGCTTCGTTCTAGCCTTTTGGTTAACCTTACTAGCAGATATCACTGCTGTTTCCACAGCCCTTTTGATATCATTCCAACCTTCATCCGGATGGTAATCGCTTAAATGGTCGCTTAACTGTCTTTCTAGTTGTTCCTGAAATATATTCTTCGCCCTATTATCACTAAGTAAAACCCTAAGAGGCTTTCTTACGGTGTCTTTCCTACGTCCAGTAAGCTTCAAACAGATACGCGCTCGCACTAGGGCATGATCTGAATCTAAACATGTGCCCCAGAACGAGCGACAGTCCTCTATCGAACCCGTCCGTCGGTGGCTGATGGCGATGTGATCTAGTTGAGTCCAACGTTGAGACGACTTTGGAGGTCGCCAGGTCAACAGATGCTTTTCCTTATGCCTAAAGTTAGTGTTTGCTAAGAATAGGTGGTTGTCTGAGCATAATTACAACAGATGGTCGCCATTGTCTTTTCTCTGAGCCGCGACACCATAACACCCACCCAGGTATCTTTCCTTTTCACTCAGTCTACCTACTTGGGCATCAAAGTCACCAGCCATTATTACTACATCAGAGTGCCTAGCTTTTTGGAGGAGGTCCGAAAGCTTTTTGTAAAACTTATCTTTCACCTCGTCTGAACTGCAGTCAGTGGGGGCATAGGCAGATATGACGAAGAGGCAACGGCGAGGGTCCCTATCTTTACGGGTCGTTACTGTCCCGTTTAGTCGGACAGCGCACAAGCGACTATCTACTTGGATCCAGTCTAGGAGCGCTAGTTCTGCCCTACGACTCAATGCTATGCCTATGCCAGCAAGACCCCGGGAAGCAGCATCAGGGCTTCCAGATACACGAAGAGTAAGTCGAGTTGCTTCTTTATTTTGACAAGGGGAAATCAGATTAATAATTTTACCAGGATCCTGTATGCGCGTTTCCGAGACACAGTATACATCGATGGCACGAGATTCTAAAGTCCTAGCTAAGGAAGCTTGTTGCCCTATTTGACACAATGTCTGTACATTAAAAGCTCCAACATGTAGTGTAGAACGGGGTTTCAAGAGACCAGGAATGACGTTTCGTGAACTCGCATTGTTTGCATTAGCTGTGCAGTGTGATAAAGGAATGTGAGAACAGTTAGTCGTGGAGATAGGAGAGGTACTAGGGGGTGTAGGAAGGATTTGATTTTGACCAATTTGGTCTCGAGTGCTGTTACGGGTATAAGGGCGGTTGTCACTTCCCGGCTGCCCACACCATGAAAGAGTGTTTCTTGAGGGACGTGGAAAGGGAGGTAGATTAGTGTTGGTCTTAGAGACCTGGGAGCGTGACCGCAGAGCCCAAGGGACAACTGCTTGAGGCCGGTCACGCACGGCCTTTTGATGAAAGGTTTTTCGAGTATTAGCTCCGCTCTTAAAGGCCCTTAGTGGGCACCCTTACCGCTGGAGACGGAAATCCGTAAGGTAGGGTGAGGTGTGACTTTTTAGGGTCGACCTTTTCTAACCCTTCGTTCCTTGTGAGAAGGCAGCATCGCTGCACATGCTGGTTGTCCGAGGGAAACACCTTACTGCTGTCACACCCCTCTGCAGTAGTCAGCAGTACGACTCCGCCCTCAGATCTTGGGTAGCTGATTTTAGTCTTATCGTTCTCCAATCGACCTGCCTGGCATGGTAGGACCTGCAGGAACATATGTTCCAGCCAGTATAGCTCGGTTGGGTCATGACGATAGGCAAGCCCGACCACCATGTCAAGGTAGCAGCTACGGTCGGGGTCGTAACCGGTAATTGGAGGCTCTGAATCTTTTGCAATGGAGGTGAACTATTCTTTGTCTCCTCTTGCAAAGTCGAAGCTTCTGAATTCTACATAATGTTTTGTATTTATTTCACTGGATTATACTTCGATCCCTAATCTTTTTGATTATCCATAATGCTGATACTACTAATCTGTGCTTTGGCCGGATAATTTTTTTATCTCTTTGTGCTAGTGGAACTGATGTATATATGTAAATGCTAAGTTAGCTTTCTTTACCTTGCACTAACAACTATGTGATTGAATACTGTCATTAAAAGGTATACAAAAGAAGCACATTAACATTATACAAGCTGTCTACTAGAGGACACTACTGATCGAGTTAGAGCTTATGGTGAATTGTCATCGGAATTATTTACTTCAAGTGGTGTCCGTCAGGGATGTCCACTCTCTCCATTCCTGTTTAACTTTGTCGTAGAGATGCTATTAGAGTTAACATTATCCCCGTCAGACTTTTCTGGGGTGGATCTTCTAGCAGGCTTGCATCGGCACCTGAACTAATGATAGGGAGTGAAGTAGTCGAGTGTGTCGACAGCTTCACTTATCTCGCAAGTCTCATCAGTGCTGATGGACTGGTGACTGACGAAAACTCAGCACGGATATAGAAAGCCCGATTGGCTTTTGCCAATTTACGTCATTTATGGCGTAGGCGAGATATCCGTTTGCTAACCAGAGGAAGAGTGTACTGTGCAGTAGTTCGGTCTGTCCTACTTTATGGCTGTGAAACATGGCCGGTGAAAGTAGATATTCGTAGGTTACTTGTTTTCGATCATAGGTGTCTCCGAAGCATTGTTCGTGTTTCTTGAGACAACCGAGTAAGCAATGCTGTCGTTAGGAAACGAGTACTAGTTAAGGATGACAGATCAATTGATCTAGTAGTGAAACTTCATCAGTTGAGGTGGTTGAGACATGTGTTACGTATGTACAACCACCGACTGCCTCGACGAGCTATGTTTTGTGTTGTAGGAGTAGGTTGGAAGAAAGCCAGGGGCGGCCAAATCAAAACATGGCATAATTGCATGAAGTCACTGACAAGTATACTGAGTCATGTTGATAAGTGTAGACCACCTGGTTTGGACCCGCGAGATGATAGTAATCGGTGGTTACAGACCTTGAACGATACGGCTCAACATCGTTTACAATGGCTCAGATGCATCCATTGATAATGATAATAAGGTATTTATTCCTTGATGTCTAATTCACATGACAGTGGAACAACATTAAGGGATGCTAGCCATTAGCCAACAGTAGGTTAGTACGCCTTTTATTCTCTCAGGATCGTTGAGTCCATGTACAACATTGGTTTGGAATCAGAGTTTTCTAGTCCTACCCAGGTGGATCGCCAGCGCAGTTTAAGCTCAGACCAAAACCTTGGTTTCCATCCTCCTGATTTTGTAAACAACACTGCCACTACAATGCGATGAGTAGGAATTCCCTGGTAGTGGTACGCATGACCATATAAACGCATTCGCAGAGTTCGAAACTAGAAACAGTGACACTATAATACAAGGAAAGTTATATAGTTGCTTTTTCAAAAGTGTTAACCATGTCCTATAATATAAACAAACGAAAATAATTTCCATAAATCCACACTAATCACATACGAAATGTTAACAACAAAAAAGCTTCACTATGATTTTTTATGACCTGACAAATTTTTACTGTACACTAAACAGTGCCTTTAGTGAATCATTCATATTTACTTACCCCTGTTATCCCCAAGAGAGCATATGCCACCGACCAGTTTTCTCCAACCAACTCTATCCTGGGCTTCCCTTTCCACTTCTTGCCAACCTTCGTTCATTTCTATTATGTCTTTCTCTATTTCTCGGTGTAATATGTACTTTAGCCTTCCTCTTTTCCTTTAACCTTGGGGGTTCCAACTGAGGACTTGTCTTGTGAGACAGTTGGGTGCTTTTCGCAGTATGTGTCCTATCTATCCAATCCCACCGCTTCTTCCTGATTTCCTCGCTCGCCGGACTTCGGTGAATCAGTCATATATATATTTATATACATACATACATACATTATTAAAAGCGTTAACTTAGTAATTCAAAAACAGGACATCGCTTCGCATACTTCAACTGAGGCAACCGGATAGTATCATTAACCCATTCCAGCTATGTTTTGTGGTGTAGGAGTAGGTTAGAAGAAAGCTATGGGCGACCAAACCAAAACATGGCACAAATCCATGAAATCACTGACAAGCGGACTGAGTCATGTTGGTAGATGTAGACTATCTGGTTGAGGTCCGTGAGAAGAAAGTCACTAATGGTTAGAGACCTTGAACGACATGGCTCAAAATCGTTTGCAATGCCGTAGGTGCATCCATTCTTTGTGTTCTCTCAAATTCTAACCTTCTGAATTCTTCATCATATCTACCTTTCTCCTTTTAAATTTATCTCACTGAATTATACTTCTCGAATTATATCTTCGCTCCCTAATCTTCTGTATTACTGCTAATACTTCTACTATATCTACCACTATGGGATTGGAACAGACATTTACGTCTCTGTGCTGATGTGGTATGGCAATGTGAACTGATGTACTTAGGTACGAAATTCTGCGTTGTATCTGTCTGTCTATTAACCCATTCCGACGACACAGTGTATTTCATAACCAAATACAGAAATCTGACAAATAATTGTCTACAGTCTGTTTATTCTCTGATTATCAGTTATTATTATTATTATTATTATTTTGTATTTTCGAATTGATATCATTTCTTCATGAAGGAATTTGAAGCACAACAGCAATGGTGTAATTCAGATGATCGATTAACGTTTATTTTACTGAATAAACAATTATTTCATAATTATTGGTCATTAAAAAACGCTACTACTGCTGCTACTACTACTAGTACAACCGAGATGGAACTAGTTGAATCCCAATTCAATGGTCATAATGAAAATGCAGAAATTTTCTCTATGATTGGTGATGTCAATTTGTTTATTACATATTCTCATATTATTAATGATTATGAAGGTAAACAAATGAGAGAGAGAGAAAAAAATAATTGTTCATTACTTACTTTTTAAATGATTCTATTGTAAAAATGAAATAGCACACACACACACACACACACGTGCACAGTCAGTGAATTTCTTTTATTGCCTAACCACCGACTGACTTGACGTGTGTTGTTTTCTGAAGTAAGAGTAGGTTGTAAAGAAGCTAGAGGTGGTGAGATCAAAATATGGCACAAATCTATGAAGTCATTGACAACTGGATTGAGTCATGTTAGTAAATGTAGACTACATGGTTGGAGCTTGCGAGATGATAGTAACCGATGATTAGAGACCTTGAATGACACCGGCTCAAAATCGTTTGCAATGGCGCAGTTACATCCATTCTTGATCTTCTCTCAAGTTCTAATCTTTTGAATTCTTCATCACCTCCATCTTTCTCTTTCTTTCACTGAATTATACTTCTTGAAGAATATCCTCGGACCTTAATCTTCGTCATTACTATTAATACTTCTACACTACACTATGGGATTTGAATTGACGATTGCATCTCTGTACTAATGTGTTATGGCAATGTGAACTGATGTACGTACGTACCAAGTTCTACACTGTAGCTGGATCTTTTACTTACCTTTTTATATCTACCATGTTCGATGTGAAGACCGGTGTCAGGCAAGGTTGCTTACTCTCACCCTTTCTCTTTCTCCTGGTCATCGACGGGATTATGAAGACGTCGACATCTGGAGGGAAGCACGGTATCAACTGGACAGTTAGGACGCAGCTGGACGATCTGGACTTCGCAGATGACCTGGCTCTTCTATCGCACACGCAACAACAAATGCAAGAGAAGACGACCAGTGTAGCAGCAGCCTCTGCAGCAGTAGGTCTCAACATACATAAAGGAAAAAGCAAAATTCTCCGATGCAACACAACATGCACCAACCAAATCACTCTTGATGGAGATGCCTTGGAGGACATTAACACCTTTACATATCTGGGCAGCATCATCGACAATCAAGGTGGATCCGATGCAGATGTGAGGGTGCGGATTGGCAAAGCAAGTTCTGCAGTTCTACAGTTGAAAAATATCTGGAACTCCAAACAACTTTCAAACAAAACCAAAATCAGGATTTTCAATACAAATGTCAAGACAGTTCTACTGTATGGAGCGGAAACCTGGAGAACTACGAAAGCCATCATCCAGAAGATACAAGTGTTTATTAACAGTTGTCTACGCAAAATACTTCGTATTCGTTGGCCAGACACCATCAGCAACAACGTACTGTGGGAGAAAACAAACCAGATTCGAGTGGAGGAGGAAATCAGGAAGAAGCGGTGGAAGTGGATAGGACACACATTGAGGAAAGCACCTAACTGCGTCACGAGACAAGCCCTCACATGGAACCCTCAAGGCAAAAGGAAAAGAGGAAGGCCAAGGAACACATTACGCCGAGAAATAGAGAAAGATATGAGAGGAATGAACAAACATTGGACAGAACTGGAGAGGGAAGCCCATGACAGAGTTGGTTGGAGAAAACTGTTGGGCGGCCTATGCTCCATTGGGGGTAACAGGAGTAAGTAAGTAAGTAAATAAGCAATGTTCGAATATTCCTAATATTTTATATTCAGTTAAGAAGAGTATTTTTTTAACATGACAAAAAATTAAAATCTTATTAATAATACTACTAACTATGAATAATTAACACATTGGACAAAGAGTTTAAAAACAACAAAAAATAATTGGATTAAATCTAACATGATGAATGAACAACAATACTAAATATCTAATATCTACCTGTGCATTATTTATATTACAATAACTTTTGAATTGTATCATTTGCAAAACTATATCACAAACTCTAATCAAGATGTAATACAGTCAAGTTAACAGTTACTGACCTGTGTTGATATAGATCGTACTCTGATTTCCTTATATAGATAGACAGACAGACAGACAGATACAACGCAGAACTTCGTACATAAGTATATCAGCTTAGGTTGCCATTCCACGTCAGCACAGAGACGTAACTGTCAGTTCCAATCCCATAGTGGTAGATATAGTAGAAGTATTAGCAGTAATACAGAAGATTAGGGAGCGAAGATATGATTCGAGAAGTATAATTCAGTAAGATAAATTTAGAAGGAGAAAGGTAGATATGATGAAGAATTCAGAAGGTTAGAATTTGAGAGAACACAAAGAATGGATGCACCTACGCCATTACAAACGATTCTGAGCCATGTCATTATTCAAAGTCTCTAACCATTAGTGACTTTCTTCTCACGGACCTCAACCAGATTAGTCTACATCTACCAACATGACTCAATCCACTTGTCAGTGTGACTTCATAGATTTCTGCTATGTTTTAGTCTGGCCGCACCTAACTTTCCTTATATATACACCTAATCGATCATAAGCAACAATAAAGACACTAACAGTTGAGAAATTGTGCTCAAGATCACATATCTATATATGAGAAATTAAACAAACAGTTAAAATGAGTGTTAGTTTAATTGATATGTAACTAACTACATAAAACTCCAACCCGATTATTTCATTCCTACTAAACAAGATGATTGTCAAATGTTCAATATATTGATAGAACTAAATATTTTTTTGGAAGTAGATAGATAGATAGAACAGTGAGTGAGATTCGTAGCTGCTCTCCTATTACATCTACTGCTTACTTCATCTCATTTGTTTTAACTGTGATTGTTCATTTTATCGATTAATACTATTTTTCATTGAACAAAAAATACCAGGTGAATTATCTGTTATGATTGCTGAATCCAAATATCGTGGGCAAGGTTTAGCAGCTGAAGCATTAGCTGGCATTCTTCAATATGTTGGCCATCAACGCTTACCGATCACATTAAATTCATTTGTAGCTAAAGTATCAATGAATAATGAAGCAAGTATAAAATTTTTTAAAAATCGTTTAAAATTTATTGAACGATCAAGAAATCCTATATTCAATGAGGTTAGTTTAATTTTAAAAAAAATTGGTGAAAAATTCATTGAGAAAAAATTACTTTTTAATTAATTTTATCAAACAAATTTCAAAAAATTTGAAACCATGAATCAATCATTGTTAGACTGTGGGGTCCATTTATCTGCGTGTTCGAATAGCGCTTGACGGTTTATAAATCAGAAGGCGAATTCGAAGTATGAATACGTTCATATTTTGGACACACCACATAGTGAAGTTGAAAAGCAGTGAAAGAATGAGCGATGGAAGCGAACGAATAGGCGAAGCGCATTGGAGAAGGCTAAGAGCCAACTCAAAGAAATAGAGCATGACTAAGAATATATAGTCCGAGAAATATAAGACAGACATGCAACAAGCGAAATAGGCACACATGAACAAAGCGACGAATGATTGACAAGGTCAAATGACACGTCATGTGAGCTCATACAAACCAGACAATAATAAGAAAGAATGGTACATATAAATTGTTGCTACGTGAATGGCTTGGTTAAATAGATTAATCGAAAGGGCTTAATCAAGCTAGTTGTAAGCGAACTGGAATATATGTGGCGGCACTAAAAGACCATCATTAGAAACCTGGAAGTACTGAGGGGCCGTTTCGTCCTGGTATGGGACTCATCAGCAGTGCGCATCCACAACTCCTTTACCTCGCTGAATTCGAACCCAGCACCTTCGGTTTGCTGAGTCCCATAGCAGGACGAAACGGCTGTTCAGTACTTCCAGGTTTATAATGGTGGTCTAACATTGATCGATTCATGATTTCAAATGTGTAACTTAACAATCTTCACAACCCCGTAATGAAATTTCAGTAATACCAATATTAAACATTATTCGTTCTTTGAGCTAGATGATGTTTTTGTGGTTGTGAAGCTTCCAGTGTTCTTTATCTGACTGAAAACATCATCAGTAGCATAAACTTTATATAGAAGAAGTGAAGTATTCGAGTTTCTCCATACATGACTTGTAACTCGTCCTGTTGATCTCGATTTTGATTGGTTGTTATTGACCTTGAAGCCGTTGTTATCTGCCTCTTTATTTTGATTGTATCCCCCATTGATTTGTTTCTTGATGCTTCGTTTGCCTACCACTTTTCTGATTGGTTGATGTCGATGTGTTTTACTGATTGCTGATTGACTTGAGTTCCAAGCTTCTAAAAATTCGCCAGTGTTCTTTGTACTTCATCTATCCACCATTTTAACATATGAAGAAAGAAATATCATGGCGTTTAACTGCTAATTGATTTTCACACAGACGATGTTGAAGAGGACATTGTTAGGATATTCATCATCAAATATCCTAAGAGAATTATTTTTGTAAGTCTAATTCTATTGGTCAATTCCTACCGGGCAATATTATGGTCGTCCTAGCTAAATACTCATTACGACCCAGACCCGAATCCCTAGTCTGGGATCCTGATTCTCTTCTGGACTCGGACCTCGTACTTTCTGGATGCTTGTAGTATACATGTTCTACTTGATATCAATTCTTCTTCTTTTATTCAATGGGGGTTTGGGACAATCGGATTAGAGTAACCTGTCGTGTCACCGAATCCTCGCTCTCGTTTTTTTTGACTGTTGATATCATTTTGCACAGTGTGTTATGATAAATTAGAATTGTTCTAATGAAAATGTTTACCCCCTTCTCTCTCTCTCTCTCTCTCTCTCTCTCTCTCTCTCTACACGCACACTCACATACATCAGATTGAATTTGTACCAGAAATACAACAATTGTCAAGTGAAGATCAGAATCCATTGAAATTGAATAATAATAATAATAATAATAATAATAATAATAATAATAATAATCTTGCTTTGCGTACATCTCAACAAATTATCGATCAACTTATAAATACATCATCTTCTAAATGGTACTACAAAGAAATGAATTTGAACTTATGGCGTCAAACATGTAGGGAATGATTGATTGCTTTTTCCCTACCATGTTATACTGTTTTGTATGTGTAAATAATAATAAGGTTTTTAAAAAAAAAACAAAGTTTTTACTTTTCTGTTTCTGTTTGTGTTTAGTTTTTATTCTATAGATTATTACCTCTCATCAGTGCTGATGGACTGGTGACTGACGAAATCTCAGTAAGGATACACAAGGTTCGATTGACTTTTCCTAATCTGTGTCACTTATGGCGTAGATGAGATAGTTGTATGCTAACCAAAGGACGAGTGTACTGCACAGTAGTTCGGTATGTCCTACTTTATGGCTTCGAAACATGGCCGGTGAAAGTAGATATTCGTAGATTACTTGTTTTCGATCATAAATGTCTCCAAAGCATTGTTAGTGTATCCCGAGACAACCTAGTAAGCAATGCTGTCGTTAGGAAACGAGTACCAGATAGGGATGGCGAAACAGTAGATGAAGTAATGAAACTTTATCAGTTGAGGTGGTTGAGACATGTGTTACGTATGTACAACCACCAACTGCCTCGACGAGCTATATTTTGCGATGTAGAAATAGGTTGGAAGAAAGCTAGGGGTGGCCAGACCAAAACATGGCAGAAATCCATGAAGTCATTGACTAGTGGACTGAGTCATGTTGGTAGATGTCGACTACCTGGTTGGAGTCCGCGAGATGATAATAATCAATGGTTAGAAACCCTGAGTGACATGGCTTAAAATCGTTTGCAATGCGCCAGTGCATTTACTCTCTGTGTTCTATCAAGTCCTAACCTTCTGAATTCCTCATCACCTTTATCTTTCTCGTTTTAAGTTTACTTCATTAGATTCTACTTCTTGAATAATACCGTCGAACCCTATTATCCTTGATTACTGCTAAGACTTCTACTACCTCTACTACTGTGTGATTTGAATTAACAATCTCATCTTTCTGTGTGTTAATGTAGTATGGCAACTTGAACTGATGTACCGACGCACGATGTTCTATGTTGTAACTGACTGATGCTTATACTATATCCAGAATAGATGCATATCTCATCTTCACACTCAGACAGGTCCTGGAACACAGACACACATTTATGCGTCCTACAATAGTTGTTTTCCTAGACGTTAAGGCGGCATTTGACTCAGTGGATTGTGATGTTCTGTGGCAGTGTTTGTCATTGAAAGGTGTACCAATGAAGTACATTAACCTTATACAAGCTCTCTACTCCAACACCACTGGTCGAGTGAGGGCTTATGGCGAACTTTCACCGGAATTCTTCACTTAAAGTGGTGTCCGTCAGGGATGTCCACTTTCTACATTCTTGTTTAATTTTATCATAGACATGCTCCTAGAAATAACCTTATCCTCGTCTGAATTTTCTGGAGTAGACCTTTTACCAGGTGGCTCGCTTATTGACTTAGAATATGCCGATGATATAGTTCTACATGGTGAAGACGCTGACAAAATGCAGAGTCTCCTGACTACCCTGAGCAACAATGCAAGCATGTTCGAGAAGCGGTTTTACCCCTCAAAATGCAAAATGTTGCTTCAAGACTGGGTTGCATCGGCACCTGAACTATTGATAGGGAGTGAAGTAGTCGAACGTGTAGACCGCTTCACTTATCTTGGGAAGTCTAATCAGTGCCGGTGGCCTGGTGACTGACGAAATCTCAGCTCGGATACAGAAGGCTCGATTGGCTTTTGCCAACCTGCGTCACTTATGGCGTAGGCGAGATATCCGTTCTCTAATCAAAGGACGAGTGTACTGTGCAGCAGTTCGCTCCGTCTTACTTTATGGCTGTGAAACATGGCCAGTGAGAGTAGAAGATATTCGTAGGTTACTGGTTTCCGATCATAGGTGTCTTCGAAGCATTGCTCGTATACCGTGGGACAACCGAGTGAGCATTACTGTCGTTAGGAAACGAGTACTAAGTAAGGTTGGGAGAGCAATAGATGAAGTGGTGAAACTTCATCAGTTGAGGTGGTTGGGACATGTGTTGCGTATGCCGAACCACCGACTGCCTCGAAGAACTTTGTTTTGTTGTGTAGGAGTAGGTTGGAAGAAAGTTAGGGGCGGCCAAACCAAAACATGGCAGAAATCCATGAAGTCATTGACTAGTGGACTGAGCCATGTCGGTAATTGTCGACTACCTGGTTGGGGTCCGTGAGATGATAATAATCGATGGTTAGAGACCTTGAATGACATGGCTCAAAATCGTTTGCAATGGCACCTGTGCATTTATGCTTTGTGTTCTCTCAAATCCTAATCTTCTGGATTCTTCAACACCTCTAGTTTCGACTCTCTAAACTTTTCTCACTGAATCATACTTCTTGAATAATATCTTCTAACCCTAACCTCTCCGATTACTTCTAATTCCCTTACTACCTCTACTACTATTGGATTTGAATTGACAATTACATCTCTGTGCTGATGTGGTATGGCAACATGAACTGATGTACTTACGTACGAAGTTCTACGTTGTAACTGACTGACTGACTTATGCTTATACTATATCCAGAATAGATGCATATCTATCAAATGTCGACAGTATCAAATAAAATGGTTAAAACAATACTTTTGATAACAAATCAAATACTGATAATAGTTATTCAAGAACTCCACCTGGAGCCTCCCTGTGGCCTACTGCTGTTCTCAAGCCCGGATATAAAGGAGGAAGGTTGTGGTTGCGGTTACTGACCCGATCCCGCAGTAAATTAACTCGCTTGCCTGAAAATATAATTCAAAATATGCCAAAATAAAGTGATGAATATAAAAAAATTCTGTGAGAATACAAAATCGGTGAAAATTTAGAAAAGGGGCAATGTTGGTGTAGTAGAACGCTCCTACGAAGAAAACATGATTTGTGAAAAATAAACATTATTGTACTCGTTTTGTTTAACTGTACCAAAAAATACTTCTTGCGCGCATCGTTCTCTTCGCGTTGCTGCCATTTTTCTTAACGCGCTGCTCCCCATGTAATGCCTACTTCCTCCTTCTTCAATAAATTACTCAAACATGGATTTACTTCGATTTAAGTGACGGGATAGTATGGAACATTTATTGGTGATCATAGTCAATCTCGACATGGTCACCACTAAAATTAGTGAGCCCGACATGATTAGCTCGTTCAGAAAATCGTTACTAATTAGCGTCTGATGGTTCATAAATCAGAAGGTGAACACAAAGTGTTGAATACGTTTATTTGGGACACACCACAAAGCGAAGCGGATAAACAGTGAATAAAAGGGATGAAGCGACGTGAATTGGAGAAGGCTGTCGAGCCAACTCCCAGGATTACAATGCGAACGAATGGGCGAAGGAAGCAAATAGACGGGCGAAGCGCGTTGGAGAAGGCTAATGAGCCAACTCTTCAAGATAGAGCATGACTAAGATTATATAGTCAGACAAATATAAGACAGACATGCAACAAGCGAAATAGGCACACATGAACAAAGCGACGAATGATTGACAAGGTCAAATGACACGTCATGTGAGCTCATACAAACCAGACAATAATAAGAAAGAATGGTACATATAAACTGTTGCAATTAATCGAAAGGGCTTAACCAAGCTAGTTGTAAGCGAACTGGAATATATGTGGCGGCACTACATGTGTATGTGTATGTGCAAAGAATTCCATTTTAATCCTCTTTGTGTATGACTTGTGTTGACAGCATGATAAGTTTGTGTTATAATGCTGCTGCTACCGATTGACCAAATTCAGATATTCAAATACGACCCTAAATACTGTTCTCAAATCTCCAATATCTATCAGAACACAACACCAATAGATGAAGTTGTTTATAAAAGGTCGAGTACAGAAGGAGTGAATGAAGGAAGGAGTTATAAGCTTTACAGATAATGCGCATTTATACAGTTAGGTCGAATGGGAAACAACATTGAAGTCTGTGACATTGACAGTTAGTACGACCATAATATTGTCCAATAGAGGAACTGACCAATAGAATTAGACTTTCAAAAATAGTTCTCCTAGGATGAATTCCTCATTTAGTTATGTAAAAACGAACGACTAAATATGCTATGAAAATAAATCTGTTTAATTCTCAATGTGTTATAATTACATTTGGGGTAACTTCGTTTGTGCGATAGCTTCAACAAAAAGCCAAATACAAATTCAGTTACATAAGTTTATTTCATTCAATCGTTTAGGAGGACATTTAAAAAATATGAAGAAGAAGTAGAGAAGGCAGGTATTCTAACTCCTGTACACTATTAGCGTTTATATATTTGCTGAAAGTACATCATGCGTCATGTGAAAAAGAGACCGGAATTAGATGAAACAATGCATGACAAATATACATGCATACAAAGCACCTACGCATAGAATTACAAGGACATGTATATAAGATGTTTGTGTGCTCAAGGTCACAATTCTGTATGAAAAGAACGGATTTGAATAAGATGGCCAAAACTACTCAATCTATCCAAAAAACTAGAATGAAACATACAAGTACATTGTAGTACTAAATGCTACACATATAACTGTAACAATATACAACAGGCTAACACATATATGGTGAATGATGTGTCAAGTTTAATACAAGTCCACTTGTTATTCTGTATCAGTCAAGTACACAGAAGAATAAAACTTCTAATCACCTTTCACTATCTGTTGTTGGTCAATCAGGTTGGATGATGCTTGAAGATCTAATGTCTGACTTGTATATCCTATATAACTGGCTCTATAGGAGTAGTGGACTGAGAAGAAAGACACTTTATCAAGATATAAAAGAAAGGAGAACTCAGTAAGTGTGATAACTCTATAGAGGCATCATTCTTCTCCCAATACCAGGAGATATCCTCAACAGAGTGTTGTTTAACCGATTGGAAGATCTAATAGACGCCCAAATTCAATATAGGTAGGCTGGATTCCGCAAAGATCATTGGTGAGCAAGGTGGATCTGATGCAGCAACAACCTACTGTGGGATAGGAAGAACCAGATTCCTTCAGAGGAAGAAGCGCTGGGGGTGGATAGGACACATTTCAGTAAGCATGCAACTCCA